TTTGATTTTGGCCGGGAAGAAGCTCCGACACCAACCAAGTATCCAATCCCAAAGGTAATTTAAGGGTGGCACTGGGTGGGTTGGCATCTGTCTTTCTGTATGATACCTGAGTCTGTCCTGATGCATTTCTCCCTCGCTCCCACCTAGATTACCCCTCCACCAGTCAGATTAAAGTTGCTCCCTTATAAAGGGGCATGCTTGAACTCAGAACTTAAAAAAGTGACTTTTTTGGATGGCTCCAGAATTCCCCAGCCAACATGGTTAAGATCTTCTGGGAAACCTCCTCTCTGTCCCACCACCTTTCTAGGCTTGTTTGGTCAGAACAAGGGACACAGGGCCTGCTTGGTGGCTGCTCCCAGACTTTGGAATTCCCCCCTTAGAGAGGTCAGGATGCCTTCTTCCTTGCTCTCCTTCCACTGGCAAGTGAGACTGTTTCTGTTACATCAGGTTTTTAGGAACAGACTATTATGACTGGCTTTTAATGGTATGGGTTTTTTAAAAAAACAACAAAAACTAGTCACTTAACAAATTTCTAAATGGTTTAATTCTTTTGACCATTTCTTGTGTTTTAATGTAACTTTTATGTGTATTTCACTGACTATGTATAAATTTTTAATTTGCTCTGGTTTTAATATTCCATAAGCCATCCTTGAGTCTCAAACTTGGGGAAAATGCAGGCTAGAAAGGAATAAAATAAATAATAATAAAAATAAAAAATGCTGGAAGTTGTCCCCTCCAAAAGTTACACTTCCTCACTCCATCTGAGAAGGGTGCTGAACATTTTGCAAAAGAAGGAGGGTTTTGTTGGATGTTCTGGCTGGTCATTGAAGTGCAGGGCTTGTGTCTGACTTTGCCTCAGCTTGCTTGGCTAGAAAGATTGTGGTCACAATCCTGGGCCCAACGTTAATGCGTGGAAACATCCAGCTTTGTTGCATTGTCCTTTGCTAGCAATCGCTCTCTGTCTGTTCTGTTGGGTTTTTTGTGTATTTTGTCCCCGCACATTTCTTGTAAGTTTGCAATTAAGTGCAGCCCAAGGCATTGTATGCATAATAAAATAAAGAGGAAAGAGTTCCAAACTTAATTGTAGGGGAACAATCAAGGACAGCTGGAAGAAGATCATTCAAAATATTTGCTTTACAAGGCCTTATTTAGACAAGCAACATCCAGGCCTTGTTTTTGTTTCCCCATCAAGCTGCTGTTTGTTCTTAGAAGTGGGATCTTCAATGTGGTTCATGACCTGGAGCCTGGCAACTGATTCTATTCCATATTGTAAAAAGCTAGAAGGGATTCCAAAGGTCATCTAGTTTAATTTCTGCCATGGCCGTTCAACCTCTGTTTAAAGAGCGCCACAGAAAGAGGGTCCATGACCGACTGGGGCATCTATTCCAGTCCTGAAACTGTTCTGCTCTTACTGCCAGAAATTTAAGTGGAATCTCTTTTCTTGTAGTTCAAAGCCATTTGTATTATATAAAACCATAACCCCACATAGAAAGTTTCCTACTCTCAGGAGCAGCAGAAAACAAACTTGTGTCCTCTTCTATATGTCAGATCTTTGGATATTTAAAGATAGCTATCATGTCAGTCTTCTCCAAGCTAAGTGTACCCAGATCCTTAAGTCATTCTTCATGGGGTTTGGTGGTTTCTGGTTCTGGTTCCTTTGATTGGTAACCATCCTCTGAACAATTTCCAGCTTGTCAACATGCTTCTTGAATGGTCATGCCTACAACCAGACACATGATTCCAGGTGAAGTCTGACCAAAGCAAGAAAGAGTGGGACTCTCTTGATCTTAACCCTTTAGTTCTGTTAAGACAGTCTAGAAATGTATTGGTATGCAGGTGCACACATACTTATTTGCTTGAGTAGATCTTAGGAAAGTGCAGAATCAAGCACACAGCAGGCCATACTGCTCTCAAAAGACAATTGAGAACAGAGCCGTGTCCCCATGAGCAGGAAGTACTTATCAATTTTCCTACTTGCTGTCCAAATAAAGCCATTTTCTGAAAGGTTACTTTGCATACACATTCTTTTGCACAGACTATAATCAGAAATGGATGTCGATCTCACCTGGACAAGCTAGCTGTGAGGAATGCATTCTCTCTGTGTGTGTATGTGTCAATTGACATCCACTTTGACTTAAGGCAGCCTATGAATGAGAAGCCTCCAAGCCACCTTGTCTCTGGAATGTGATCTTCCCCTTTTCATACTAAAATTCTACCAACTACTACTGCATTCTACCACAGCATGGAATAATTCCCCTCTTTTTGGATGACAACCCCCAGAATCCCCAACCCTGGTAGTTGTGGGATCCTGGAGCTGTAGTCCAAAAGGAGGAATTGTCTCCTCTCTATGCCAGACCTATCAGTCCAAAGCTAACAAAAGAAGACTAAACAAGGCCAAGTCTGTTGCAAATTAATGGCAAAGCATGTCTACTCTTGTTGCTGGTAGTCTCACCCATCCCTTTCCACTCTGTACAAACAGGGGCAGATCCATAACAGGCTGTACTTTCATGTTCTTCACATAGTAGGCCATCACTCCAGGTTGCCCTTAGTTATTTTTTTCCACATCCCCCCCCTCCCCCCATGAAGAATTTGGATTGCAGCCTCTGGAACAACGTAAAGGAGTGACTTGGCTAAACTGTTTGTAGGCTTGATTCTGGGAAAAGGACATCCTGTTGCTAACCACCCATCCCCTTTACATTAGTTAACTCTAAGTATATTACAGATAGATAAGAGTGGGCCTCCAAGACCAAGTTGAAATCCAGGTGGAAAAGTTACTGTATTTGTACTAGTTCTCAGAATTCAGAAAAGTTAATTTTTTTGAATACCACCCCCTGAATCTCAAAGACTAGTAAAACTAAATTAATCTTACACATTTTAGCCAATAATTCACTCTACAATAAAAGGGAGAGACAAAGAAGCAATTAAACATTTTCTGTTGAGTTTGGGAAAGTTACTTTTTTGGTTTCCCCTCAAATGCTTCTAGGCAGCATGCCCAGTGGACATACTGGCTAGGGAATTTTCCACACATGTGTTCAGTCACATTCATTCCAAAGTAGAGTTTAAAAATGTAATTTTAATGTTACCTTACATGAAAACTCCTGAGTCTGTCTATCTATAACATGGCAGAGTGAATCTTCTCTTTAGCATCTACCATGCCTCCAAGCTTCATCTAGATATCCAGAAATGGAAACATTACAGCTGTTTAGACTTTCCATATAGAAGTGAATGCAAGCACTTGTGGATCCAGATGTTCAAATCAAGATTTGGGTATGGACTCCAAAGCAGATCTGTGCTAGTCCTGCTAATTATTATTCCACAAATAATCTGATTTGAGATTAAGCAGGAGTCAACAGTGTGACACTGGGGTCAAAAAGCCAATGCAATTCTGGGATGTATCAGCAGGAGTATATAGTGTCAAGATCGAGGGAAGTAATATTGCCACTCTATTCTGTTTTGGTCAGACCTCACCTGGAATACTGTGTCCATTTCTGGGAACAACAGTTCAAGAAAGATGTTGACAAGCTGGAAAGTGTTCAGAAGACAATCCCTACAAACCAAACCCTACAAGGCATAGCTTAAGGAGCTGGGTATATTTAGCTTGGACAAGAGAAGACTGAGGGGGTGACAAGATAGCCATCTTGAAATATCTGAAGTAATGTCATATGGAAGATGGAGCCAGCTTGTTTTCTGCTGCTTCGAAGATTAGAACACAAACCAATAGGTTCAAATTACCAGAAAAGAGATTCCACCTCAATGTTAAGAAGAACTTATTTACTATAAGAGCTTTCAATGGTGGAATAGACTGCCGGGGAGGATGGTGGATTCTCCTGTGGCAGTCTTCAGAGGTTGGATGGCCATCTCTCATAAGTGCTATAGTTGTATCTTCCTGCATGGGGTTGGAATAGGTGGCCTTTCCAGTCCCTTCTAGCTATGATGATAAAAGATGCTTGATTTTGCCAGTTAAGAGCATATATAGGGGAAATGGGAACTATCCATGTGCCACGTTCCCTTCAGGCCTGGTTAGACTTCCAGGTAGTAAGTTGTTTCCTGCTGACACTTCTTCGCTTGTGTTTTTACTTCAGATTGAACTGGCAGACCCTAAAGGTGTGTTAGATGAAGCAGTTCGTATGTTAGAGGCTAATGAAGAATTCATTCCTCAGTCTGAGAAAATATGATGATGGAAGTTCATGACCAATGGAAAGCCATTGTCAACAGAGAGGCCTGCCTTGAACAACATCATTCCCAAATATACACTGGTACTTCCTTGAGCTTATGGCCTGTCCTTCATTCTCTCCTTCTGGTAGTTCGAGATCCTTTGGGTTTCCATTTAGCAGCTGAAGTGGAAATAGAGTGGGTGGATGTAGCTGGCTTTCCTAACATTAGAAGTACAAGACATTATTTGCCAGTTAGTTGCTTCAGACCCTTTAAGTGGGGGGGCTAATTCTTCCCCACCTTTTCTTGCAGCAGATCCTAGATTCTTAAGAATGAGCGTTATTTTAATGTACAGCTGAACATATGTTGTGCAGTATGAAAATAAAATGTGTAGGAGAAAATAGTTTTTTGTGCCATCTTGCCACAATTGGCAAGATGGGCTTAAGTCAGAAACAAAGGGGTTCCTTAAAACAAACAGATAAGAAAAAGATACAGAAACAGAGAATTAAAAAGATCACTGTTACCTTTCAGTCTTTGTAACCTTATGTTAATATAGTATATTATGGGGACCAACTGCCTATGACCAAGGAGGATACAGGAAGATCTCAGTTTATAGTACATTTGTGTTCCTAGACTCACGGTGTAAATTGAGACTGATGTAAATGGAAGGAGCCAGTTCCATAGGACAACAGTAGGGACACTGAATCTGTTGTTGTGTGCCTCCAAGTAATTTTTGACTTACGGCTAACCTATCATAGCATTTTCTTGGCAAATTTCTTCAGAGGAGGTTTGCCATTGCCATCCTCTGAGCAAGTGTGACTTGCCTGAGGTCACCCAGTGGGGTTTCATCCTCGAGCAGGGAATCGGACCCTGATCTCCAGAGTTGTAGTCTAATACTCAAACCACTGAGCCACACTGGCTCTCTCGATCTATCTTTGCTTTTATTCCTTATTTTGGAATCCATTTACAGCCTATGCATATTCAATAATATGTCATCTGGTGCTCCCCATTTCAGTTTGGCAAATTCTCCAATCTGGTTTGACTGGAACCTGAATGGACCAGGCCCCTAGAATTTTCACAGCTTTGTGGTGAACATCTAGCATAAGATCTTCTTTTCTTCTTTTGGAGTGACTCAAGGTTTTGGTGGCAACCCTCTTCTGGTGGCAACTCACAAAGTGTGTGCCCAAGCATTAGTGAGATCTTTTGTAATCTGGGTTAATTATAATTGATGTGGAATATCATTTATAACCCACCATGGAGTTGGGACACAAAGCAGGAATTGGATGCTGTCATGGAAAGAATCTAAAACATTCTTAATAATACAGAAATTCCTTCCCCACCTTTATCTAAGACTTCTTAAAATAATCATTTTAATTCAAAGGATTGATCAATCATTTTCCTTTGTCCACATGGGAGAACTTTGGCACTGAAAGAGAGCAAAAGTTTTGGAAGCCTATGATGTATTTTCATTTTTTTAAAAAAAATGTTACTGTATTTAATTTTGTTATATGGAAAATATTAAATTGACATATCAGTTAAGAACAGAAACAAAGTATTCGAACAACAATGAGAAAAGTAACAAACAGAAAAGAAGAGCAGTAAAGATAGATTGAAGATCATAACACTATAATAGCTTTATTATGGGACTTATGGGACATAGGTTCTAGGCACAGTGAGTACTTTTGAGATTATCAAAATTGATTTTTCCAGTATTCAAGTTGTGAGGCTGGTGGGCACTGAGGGGATGTTTCTTCCCAAGCAAATAAAATAAATGGCCACCAAATTGTCTCAGATGTGTCCTTTTCAAAGTGTCTGTGTGCTTTTTTTGATCCTGAATGTCAGATTTTCAAAAAGTGCCAAAGACCACCTATCTCCTGATAGTTAAGTCTTTCAAATCTTGCCATCTCTTAGAAATCCCACTGTCTCTCATAGGGTTTTCTTGGCAAGATTTGTTCAGAGGTTTGCCATTGCCTTCTTCTGAGGCTGAGAGAGTAGGACCTCCTTCTCTGGACACATTCCAGTTTGTTAACATCCTTCTTAAATTGTGGTGCCCAGAACTGAACACAATATTCCAGGTGAGGTCTGACCAAAGCAGACTAGGGTGGCACTACTTCCCTTGACCTGGACACTCCTATTGATGCAGCCTAGACTTGAATTGGCTTTTTGGCCACTATCACACTATTGACTCATGTTTAGCTTGTGGTCTACCAAGAAACGGGGAATTACCAAACTGGTGTACACCAATGACTGCTCTATATGTTTCCAGAGATGAGAAAACCAAACCTTGTTCCTTCAAACAGAGTAGAAACTTCAAAAGTGTAGAAACTGACCAAGGCAAGGCATAGAGTCAAAGTATAGAGAAATGAACAAACCACGTCCATTTCAGTTTGTAAGTGCTGTGTGTCATGGGTTTCCGTGCTGCCGTGCTGTTGAATGTTTATGCTGGTGGGTACAGTGGTTGGAGTCTTCTTCGAAAATGATGAAGAAAAAGAAGAAATCAGTAAGACACTGGAGATAATAATGAATAGTGGCATGACCAAGAATGGAATGCAAATGTATTACTCAGTGTTCTTTCAATTGCTGAGGACAGAACTCCAAATGCTGCTGCTTGTGTGTCAGACAAGACATAACCAAGGGAGGTGGCTCTCCACAGCCATGCAGGCTGAGGAGGGGGCAGGGTTACTGCCAAAAGCAACTCAGCTCTAGAAGGTTCCATGTGGGCACAAGACTTAATTGTGTGAGTCACAGAGGCCACAAAGAAGAACTTGTGATTTCCAGGAACAACCAAAGTAGGTTTTAAGTTTAGCTGGGGTTCCTCACTTAGTTTTTCATTTCTGAATGTTACCATGTTGCATGGAACATAACCAATGTCAAAGGGTACCTCTGAGCAGGTACAAAAGGCATTCTCCAGTCCCCTGCGCTCTCCTTATTCATGCATTTGGTTAGGACTTTTGAGGCCCTCTTTCTATGGCCCTTAAAAAAGGTAACTATAATCTTTCACCGGCCTTACCTCATTGAATTGCCACAGGCCTATAAGGTGCCTACTTGTGCCAGTTTCTTTTGGAAATGCAAGCCAATGCCTCCTCTTGGCATGGGCAAACAAATTAAGCATTCCCTGTTGTTGTAACCACTTTCTCCTGATCTTCGTTGTTCTTGACTCAACAAGCTCGTCATTTGCATTTGGTTTAGATTGCTTTCCAGATCTGAATACACTCTCAACAACTGTCCAGGTGCAGTTGTCCCAATTCAACCACACTAGCTTTTCCCAACTG